TTTCGGGCCTACTAGAGCCCAGGATCTGATTTGACACCTTCAGGGGAGACGATTATTGGACATTTGGTGGGGGAGACTATTTTGGACTACTCCGAGCTGATCTCTTGTTCTCTCCCCCTTCTTCCTCCTTCGTCTTCTCCCCACCTCCATCATTTGTGGTTCCTTCCTATGTGTGTGAGCAAGGAGGGACCTTTGTTCCACTGGCATGTATGCCCCCTTCCTTGCTGATCCAACATGTGTGATGATGCCTGTCTGAGTCGAGTATGAGTCCTCAATCAGGTCGTGTATTTGAGTCTCTGTTGTGCTACATTGCATTATCTTGTTGGTTATCTGGATGCGCATTGCTCATTCGTGGATCGCATTCAAGTTGTTTGTCCTGAGTCCTACTTTTCACATTAGTGGTCTCTTGGTTCTGAGCATAGCCCATCTTCAGACGGACATGCATCAATGGAAGAGGACTGACTCGAAGGCCTGATGTGCGGATCTAACACCATAACCATAACCATTGTGGTTCACCAGGCAGTTCTCTGTAACAATATATGCAGGTCGGACATGCTTTGGCCTGGGTGGGAAGGCAAGGTTGATGATGCTGCTAATTCCACTCGCATCAGCCACCTCAATCTTGCCACACCACACTACATCATGGGTGGCATGGCCACCATTCGAGCACCACCTGCAGTGCCTTGGCAAGGTTCAAGTTTCTAAGGCTGTGTCTAATGCCGTTCAAGTCGCTAATTCCACTAACATCACCCACTGCAATCTCACCATACCACACTACGTCATGTGCGGCACGCTGCCATTCTACAGCTATAGGCAAGGAGCACCACCTACAGTGAGTGCCTTGTTCGTTGTGTCTTGCATGACACCTACACGACGTATGACTTCAAGCAACCTCACCCACGCAGGGTGTACATTGACTGCAACCTTCCTATCGACACCGGTGGTTAACAGGGTAAACTGTTGTCATTGCTGAAATCATATGTTTTGGGCTAAATTTTCACTTTTTTTTCTTTTTTTTTTTTTGACTCTTGGAATTGTGTCTGGTGACCATTTCCCAATGTTCTTAAGTGTTTTTGTCCATTGGAGTTGTCTGTGGTGACCATTTCCAAAAAACGCTGAAAATTTTGAAAATTCCCTGAATGCAAATTTTCATTCAGGGCTTAGTTGCACTACTCGCCATCCGTCACAATTTGTGGGCGGATGCGTGGAGAGTGAAAAATATGAAAATCATGTCGAACTGAAGGCCTGGTTGCACTTACTTGCCGCTATATTTCTTCTACAGAAAAGTTAAAATTTTTTGTCTACCTGATGTCGATTTGTGAAGTCCTGCACTCTCCAGAAAGTTGTTTTGTGGAGAGGTCTGAGGACCACCCTCCGCAAACTGCCTTGCACAGGGGGGGAACTGGAAACACTCTCCACAACTTGTGTCGATGGTATGGTGATCTGTTTGACACATTTTGCATTCACCAAGTTTGGCGAGTAAGTGCAACCGGTGCCTACTCGTGAAATTTGCCAATGGCGGGTAGCTCCAGCATACAAACTCCTCCCTCAACTTCGGATCTCCGCCTCGCTACCTTCGCACTACAGGAATACGCATCCTAGTTAAAAAATCCTGATGAATTCTTCGCTGCTTCACCATCCCACCATTTTTTGAATTGGTCTCTTCTACTCTCATCATCTTCTATAAGATATTCTCACTCAGTGCTTCAATGAGTCCGCCAACGATGTTAGACTTCAGTTCAACGACACCTCTTACGTTCCGACATAAAAAATTATAGAAGTTAGAAGAATGGTAAAATCAGTCTTCCCCCCCTCTCGTTTTAAACAAGCTCTCAAATTGAACTCCCCCCCCCC